AGGATTTCTTCAAAAAGTTCCTGTATGAGCCATTGCCAGTAGAGTCTCACCTGGACCACTGTATGCATGACCACTTCAATGCAGAAATTGTCACCAAGACCATTGAGAACAAGCAGGACGCGGTGGACTACCTCACCTGGACCTTTCTGTACCGTCGCATGACTCAGAACCCCAATTACTACAACCTGCAGGGTCAGTGCGCTTGGGGCCCACACTAGCCTTCTGTGCCGTTCCCAGCCTTGGCCGGGCATTTCCCTAAGGGCCTGCTCATCTCGTCCCTGCACAGGCATCTCCCACCGGCACTTGTCTGACCACTTGTCGGAGCTCGTAGAGCAGACCCTGAGTGACTTGGAGCAGTCCAAGTGCATCAGCATCGAGGATGAGATGGATGTCGCGCCACTGAACCTGGGCATGATCGCGGCCTACTATTACATCAACTACACCACCATTGGTGAGGGGCTGCCGGGGTTCAAGGCTGGAGCCTGCTGAGATGAGGTCACAGGGCTGGATGTGCCCCAGGCGTTGTCTGCAGGGTGGTCTTGGAGGCTAGAGCGGAGTGCCCAGTTAATCATTTCCTCCCTGTTCCCATTCCTTCCTCTTTCGTCCCTCCCAATTTTCCTCTTTTCCCTGTCAGAGCTCTTTAGCATGTCCCTGAATGCTAAGACCAAGGTGCGTGGGCTGATTGAGATCATCTCTAATGCTGCGGAATATGAGAACATTCCCATCCGGCACCATGAAGACAACCTCCTGCGTCAGGTGAACGTCCTTGGAGTTGAAATTTGGCTTATGTTCCCAGAGCATGTAGTATCCCTGTCACCACGCACGCACCACCACACACACACCTCCCACCCCCACCTGTGGGTATTGAAGAGTTGGGCACTTTGGCCAGGTAATGCTCTTGGTCTGAGAGCTGATTTCAGGCAAGCTCACCTGTTTCTCACCAGATATTTTTCTTCCATGTTATAGTTGGCTCAGAAGGTCCCTCACAAGCTGAACAACCCTAAGTTCAATGACCCACACATCAAGACCAACCTGCTTCTGCAGGCTCACCTGTCGCGCATGCAGCTGAGTGCCGAGCTGCAGTCGGACACAGAGGAGATCCTTAGTAAGGTATGGTGTGGACACAGGTGTGTGTCGGAGGGGCTGAGGTGACAGTAGCAGTCCGGACCCAGCCTCCATCCATGTACTTCTGTCCCGTACAGGCAATCCGGCTCATCCAGGCCTGTGTGGATGTCCTCTCCAGCAATGGGTGGCTCAGTCCTGCCCTGGCAGCTATGGAACTGGCTCAGATGGTCACCCAAGCCATGTGGTCCAAGGACTCGTACCTGAAACAGCTGCCGCACTTCACTTCAGAGCATATCAAACGCTGCACAGACAAGGTGAGCAGATCTGGATGTGAAGTGTTGACCAAGTAAGCCTGAGAGCTAGGCCTGGGGGTGGGGAGTTGGGAACCACCGTGAGGGCAACATCTAGCTCTGGCTTCTCTAAAGGGTTGCCTGTTGAAATCTAGAAGAGCCTGCCCGCTGTGCACCATGGTCTTTCCGAAGCTGGGTCATCTCTGGGTGGTCTCCTGCATCGGAAGTAAAGTTGGCACTTGCTTGGTGCTAGTTCCTCTCTGCTCTTAGCTGGCATTCTCTGCCCTCTGAATCCCACTGCAGGGAGTGGAAAGTGTCTTTGACATCATGGAGATGGAGGATGAGGAACGGAACGCACTGCTCCAGCTCTCGGACAGCCAGATCGCTGACGTGGCCCGCTTCTGTAACCGCTACCCGAACATCGAGCTGTCCTACGAAGTGGTGGAGAAGGACAGCATTCGCAGGTGAGCCAGCGAGAAGCAAGTGCCCCGGGGTCCTGCTGCGTGAACCCCCTGCCAAGTTGTCGCCCTCTTCTCTCCCCTGCAGCGGTGGGCCGGTTGTGGTGTTGGTGCAGCTGGAGCGAGAGGAGGAAGTCACGGGCCCTGTTATTGCACCTCTGTTCCCACAGGTATGTCCAAGTAGCTGGCCTTACCAGAGTCCAGCTTACAGGGAGGGGTAGTGTCATTGGGAGAGGGGCTTTAGAGAAATAATGAAGGTACAAGACTAAGGATTTATCTCGGGGTCATGTCTTCCCCTTCTCCCCTGCTTACCTTGGGTTTAGTTTGAACCCATTCAGGTAGCTGGACATTGTTAGGGTCAATTGTGCATTCGTGTCAAGCCCTGTGACTTTGAAGAGCCATTGGACAACGGGGGCTTTTCTAGGGGGTGTTTTCCGGCTTTCCTCACCGCCATGGACTCTGCTCCTAATTGCTTTTTTCGCTACCATTAGGAAAAAGGAAAATCTGACCTTCGCATGGAACTATAATATGAAGCCTCAAGGGGGGGGGGAATGGTTTAAACAATAATATTTCAGGTTTCAAAGTTCTGTGGATCTCACTTTTGTTGAGAATACACATAGCACAAACGTACACCAATCCGAGCTTGCCTGCGTGCACTGTAGAGGTGGCTTCTCTGCTGGAGCTGCTCGGCCTTTCTCACCTCACCCCTGCCCCTAAGCTTCCCGCCGGTTGAATCCCATGTACTATGAGGGCCTCCAAAAAGTCAGTGGGAAAAGCCCTTTGCCTTTACATTCCATTTCCCACAAACTTGTCGAAGCCCCTTCATACATATAGACCTTAAAAGAGCATAACGTTCAAGGGAGACTCCTTTTATACCCAACTACTATAAACTGTTGATTGGCTTTAAGACTTCAGGAGATAATGATTTATTAAAGATTGGGAGAAATTGTTTAGGGGTTCATCTAGCCTGCATGGCCCCACAAAGACTGAGCCCATGAGCATTTGGAATTATGCATTTTCCCCTTTGTGACCAGGATTCTTCTAGAGAAACTGATCAGAATGGATTGGTAGCAGACAGATAGGCTCCTCTAAATGGTAAGGTACGTTTCTTATCAGGCCTCGGAGACTAGAGCACACTGGTGGAGACGTACACTCGGGCAAGCACTAAGTGGAAGAAGGTACTTAGGGACAAGGACATGAGGCAGAATAACAAACGAGTCCATCTGCCTACCTAAAAATGGAACCCCTTTGAGGCATCTTTGGACAGTTTTATACTCTTAAGTCATTTCAAAGCTTACAACAGGGCTTCACAAGGTTTGTGGAAAAACTGAAATGATGCATTTTTCCACAAACTTTGAAAGCCCCCTCATATTTCAGAGAACTTCCTAGCTGGCTTTTTTGATTTTCCTACTTTTGTAACTGCCTCATGGTCCTGTGGCCATCAGGCTTTCCATGCTGAAATCCCTCGGCTTTGGTCTTTGCAGAAACGTGAAGAGGGCTGGTGGGTGGTGATCGGAGATGCCAAGTCCAATAGCCTCATTTCCATCAAGAGGCTGACCCTGCAGCAGAAGGCTAAGGTGAGTGTCTCTGCAAGCCTCAGTGTCTGCTCTGCTAGCCAGGGGTGGGGGCGAGGGCAGGGCGAGCACTCTTCCCGAGTCCGCGCTCGGCCTGATTTCCACCTGCTCTTTTTAGGTGAAACTCGACTTTGTGGCGCCAGCCACTGGTGCCCACAACTACACGCTGTACTTCATGAGTGACGCTTACATGGGCTGTGACCAGGAATACAAATTCAGCGTGGACGTGAAAGAAGCGGAGACTGACAGTGACTCGGATTGAGCCATAAGGCATTCTGCTCTCACACAGGATTGTTGAACCTGGACGGGGAGCATAGACAGTTGCTGGATCCTGGTTGTGGAGACCCCATCTGTCAGCATGAGATCTGAGCAGTCAGGGTGTGTCCCAGCCCTGCTGCTTTTCCCTTGTCGCCATGCAGTCCACACTTTGGACCCAGGGTCTGCAGCTGCGCAACGGAGCTGGCCGGTCGTACACACAGTACGGCATTTTCAGGCATGGTCTTTGTCATTCCTTTTTGAATTGCACAGTCTATTACAATAAGTTACAGAAACCACTCGCTCCTTGGTTTTCTCTAACGTAAGGCCCTTAGTTGAAGGGGTTTTTGTTTGCTTTTGCGGCAGGTAAACTATAATTTGTATTTCTAGAGGACAACCTGATCAATGGGGCTGTCTTGTCTATAGCCATTTCCGTCAGTGTGGAAGAGGGACTCTTGGCAGCTTCTCTTCAGGCTGTGATGGTGGCCCACCATAGGTGTGTGCTACCCAGATAGTGGCATGACTGCAGGAACGAAGGTCGCCTCGGTGGGTAGATCCACGGTCCCACAAAGTGGGGAGCACCTGAAGGGAGATGAAAATGCACCACCTGGACATACCCCTTTTTGCTAAACCATTTTGTAATCCAGACCTACCAAATTTTCCTGCCTTCTGTTGTGGTTTTGCAAACTTTTTTTTAGGAATACATGTATTCAGATTTTTTTGTAGGGTATTTTCAGAGAGTTTTCACTTGGGACCTTTTGCACTATGAAAGGTGGAAGAACTCCAAAGACTTTAGTTAAGGTCTACCCACTGGTATATGAAACTACAGTAAATCATTTCTGTTAAAACAACTGTACACATGATAACATTTATGAGAAATGACCCAGTGAGAAGTATCCAACATCTGACTTGACATCCAACTGCTTCTATAAACAACCCATTGTGGGTGGTTTGAGTTGAAGAAAAGCTGCACACAGATACTACTGTTAGGTGTTGTCCAGTTGGTTCTGAGAACGAGAGGATAGACCTGCCCCGTGGGTTCCCAAGACTAAATCCTGGCAGAGTAGAAAGCCTCATCTTTCTCCTGTGGAGCAACCTGTGGTTTTGAACTGTTGACCTTGCAGTTAGTGGCCCAATGTGTACCATTAACGCCACCAAGGCTCCTCCTCAGCTGGGAAAGGGAGGGTTGTTTTTAATAGCCCTTTCAGGTTAATTGTAGAGATCCTTGGATAGACTCAGCAAGTGGCAGTTTGTTAAAGGTTAGGTGCACTCTGGAATCTGAAGCCGGTCAATCAACTTTTTCTCCTGTTACATTAACATCTGTTGTTCTGACACTTTGGATCTCATCATAAATTATTTCCTAGCATGTGTCGAACATTTGGAAAATAGTGGTTCACTGAATTATGCAGATCTTCTAAATGTTGACATCTCTTACAGTATGAAATGGAAAAAAAGGAATGTCACCACATCAAGTCTACATACTGGGAAGTTCACAGTGGCAATACTGGTTTTCAGAAGTTGGTTTTTAGTATGCTTTTATCATTTGGCAGTATGTTCTGTTGTTTTCCCTTGAAGTGAAAGTTTTGTTGTTTTTGGGGAAAAATGCCAAATATTCAAGTCCAAATACCATTCTTGTTAAGGCCACCATCTTGCCCAACCCATGTGGTTCCTTTCAGAACCCTTGATGCCGTTTTATCTAAACAGAGCACCATTGCTGGTAGGAGCCCTACTGCCAGGGGTTTAGTTGATGCTATTTTTATCCCACAGCCTCTTTCTTGATTCACCTAGTTTTAATTGCCACATACCCTTTCAAATTGAGATGAAATGGCCCCTCTTCCACAAAACTGATTCTCCAGTGTTTTGCCTGGAGTCCTCTGTCTACTCCAATTTGTTGCAATTACTGTCAATAGGCTAACTTTCTGGAGAGATGACTCTCCTCTGAATCCTCACCTCGCTCATTGCCTGGTAAATACTGGTGCCACATGCAGAGTCCAGTCATCACTGCAAGATGCCAGGTGCTGACCACCGGGGTCAGGTCCAAATACCATACTTTGATATGCCACGAAGAAAGCTGGCAACTCAAGTGACACAATTGCTTTTCTTCATGACCATGATCATACTTCAGTGTGGTATCCATGCTTCCAGTGTTAGGGTCTTAGGGTGGGGGCAACAAAATAGAAAGTGGTGGCTTATAGGAATGGAAACATCCTGCCTCTTTGGGATGCTGATAGTCCAAATCAGATCAACTAGGCCAGCTTCTCTCCATGACTCTAGATGGGTCTTTTATTGTCTCTCAGCTTCCGGTGTTCCTTAATTTGCTGTGACAGGAAAATGCCATGGTCCCATGTCCATCTTCCCTCTTTTGTAAGGACACCACTTGGGATGGATTAGGACCCACTATTCCAGCACGCCCTCATGATAAGTGGCATATATAAAAGGAAACATGATGTGTGTGGATGTATATATAATCTTACATGCATAGCTTTTAGCCAGCAATTCGGAAAGCAAAACTAATTTCAGTTCAGAACGGGTGGGTTATTTAAAACTTACAATTTCAGACCATGTTCTAGGTACATCCCATCCCACATACATGTATCGCACATTCACATCCAAAGTTGAACACTAGTTTGTCCCTGTGTCCTACAGCAAGCAAAAGCTGGGGGCTAGCAACCGCTGTACTGATCTTCCCCGGCTCTTTACTGAGGCCCCATCAAAGGAGGGGAGCGTGGGAATACTGGTCTAGTGCCATACTTCTATGAAGTAGAGGCAAGTGAAGTCAAGGTTAATGAGCCTCCAGGTCATCTCGAGGCCAGGCTGGATGCTTTCTGGGGAGCCACAAATCTGTCCAAAGTAGAGATGGTCCAAAGGCCTTCATTCAGGTCGCTGGTACTTCCAGAAGGCCACCTCCCCATCATCACTGCAGGAAGCCAGAAGCCCTTGCTCCTTGGGGTTCCACGCCACACAGTTCACATCCTGGGTATGGGCCTGAGGCAAGTGGGCTGTCAGAGAGAAGGTAGGCTGCTGCGGGTCGGAGCCAGGGTCCTCCTCAAACACCCGGATGGCATCATCTCCACAAGCTGTAGCCAGGGCCCCAGTCAGCTGACACCTGGAGGAACACACACATCAGTTGGGGGAGAGGGGTTGACCCCTCCCTTCCTAAAGCTAGCAAACTAGCGAGGAGAGATTTGCTCCACAGTCCCTGGGCTGGTCTCTTCCCAACTCTGCTAAAAATCTCCAAGAGCTTCCTCAATTGAATATATAACTATAAGTTTAGCCCTTAAGTTTAGAAGTACTTCTAATTGCTCTGCAATACACAACCCAAAACAGCACCATTGTGAAGTGCTTTTTGTTAACAAGGCACAAGGGTTTTCCATGACACTAAGTATCCTAAACTGGTTGGTTCTTAACAGCTACACCAGTTGTTCTCAACCTTCCTAATGGCCGACCCTGTAATACAGCTCCTTGAGGTGGTGACACCCCAACCATAACACTTTCGTTGCTACTTCATAGCTAATTTTGCTAGTTATGAATTGGGTGACCCCTGTGAAAGGGTCGTTGGACCCCCAAAGGGGTCATGACCCACAGGTCAAGAACCACTGAGCAGATAATAGGGTAAAGAGCCCTGGTGGCACAGTGAGTTAAGCACTTGGCTACTAACTGTAAGGCTGGCAGTTCAAACCCAAGAGCTACTCTGCATGTGAAAGATGAGGCTGTCTGCTCCCACAAAAACTCATGTCTATCGAAAGAGTAAGGAACAATTCCACTCTGCCCGGGGTCACTAGGAGTTGGGATTGATGGCAGTAGATTTTTTAATATAATAGGCCACTGAGTTTGACCATGATATAAGCCCATTTGTGTTATGCTCATACAGGTTATTTCCAAATGCCTGCACAAACAAAACTTAGACATAACATAATTTTTATCACTATTTAGGATTATCTCCTAGGGATAGATTCTTGAGTCAGATTTGCTATCTGGTCTACTTTCTTATGTACCATTAGGTGCCTAGCTATCAAAAGATAAAGCATCTGGGGTCTTAAAGGCTTGAAGATAAACAAGCGGCCATCTAGCTGAGAAGCAACAAAGCCCACATGGAGGAACACACCAGACCGTGGGATCACGAGGGGACAATAGGATTGGGGATCAGGCATCAAAAATCCAGAGCAAAAAATCATAATGTGAATGAGGAGGGGAGTGTGGAGTGGCGGCCCAAAGCCAATCTAGGCAATTGGACATCCCCTTACAGAAGGGTCTCAGGGAGATGACAAGCCAGTCAGGGTGCAGTATAGCATCGATGAAACATAAAGCTTTCTTCTGGTTCTTTAAGGCTTCCTCCCCCGGCCCCCACTATCATGACCCTAATTCTA